AGAAATAAAACTAATTTCTCTTCTGCCACAAACAACCAAGAAGAAGCCGAGGGAGAACAATCTTTCTTCTTTCTTCTTTCTTCTTCCTTCACCGCAAAGAACTACACCTTACACTTCTCTTCCTCTATCCCGAGAAAACCTGAAGAACTCTTCCTCTACCTCGAGGAAGCCCGAAGAAGAGCTCAAAATCGTGACTTCACTTAATCTGAAGCGGAACTGTCTCTTCTTCTGTTAGCAACTTAAAGGAAACGGGAGGCGGTGTCGTTTCGCGAATATCGTGACCTTTTGCCACAGTGGAGCGGGAACAGGTATCACAACCTTTCGCGATCAAGCGGGAGGTGGGAGCGGTTTTGCAACAGCAGGGGATCGCGGCGTTTCACTATCGGGAGCAGAAGAGGGGTTGGGGTCGCGATGCGAGTGAGAGCAGGAAATCGAGGGGCGGATCGGGCTCCAGCTCTAACATTAATTACAAAGTAAATTCATCATTATCTATAAGCCCTATACTAGAATGCAAGTGGGGATAGAGTCATATAGTGCTGCGCTCATTTTGAGTAGCAAGAACTCACATATTATCAATTAAATTTATTTTGATTTGTTAAATAAATGTTAACGTCATCATCACTTGCTTTTTTTTTAATTCATCAACATATATAAGTATTGCTTTATATAACTTAAAATAGTCCTTTATCCTTAAACAATTATACACAAAGATTTTAGCTCTGTAGAGCTAATGAACCAGCTTATTTAAGACAACAATGCATGATCCGCTTGCCTTTGGGCAGCACTATATTTGCTCTCATATTATGTAATATAAAACATATAGATGTTGTTAGAAAAAATAAGTTATAATGAGCAACACATTATTATTTTATTGTCATAACTTATTAAATTAACTGACTAATGAATATTTAACTTACTATGTAACTATAATAGTGTATTTAACAATAGAAATCACTTTGTCCCCTTGCTACTCACTTTTATCTTCTTTTCTTTGGAGCCATATTTCAATCCTACCAATTATGCATTGAAGAAATGAAATTGCTTTTATCAATTGGGCAAAAGAGGTCAATATTGTATGGATTCATTAGCATATGCATATTAATATTTTCTCTTTTTTTTAATTATATTTTACCTCTACACCATAATTAGAAGTAATAGTCAGAGATGTTCGTATGCCTCTTTTTTCACTTCGTCTAGACATATAATTGTAAGAGATGAGTTAATTTCTCTGATCTTTTGATGAATGTAAAATCAATAATAAAGTTCTTTATCTATATTATTCTCATTTTTATTATCCAAATATTCCTGAGCTGAAGCTTGAATGGATGAGTAAATAATGATAACCTCCTCACCTTTATTTTACTTCACCTCTCTTTATATAAAACTTTGGAAAAAACTGGTTAGAGCAACAAATTTCTCTATGATTTAATATTATTAAATTTGACTTATATTGCTCTTTAGCTCTCTAATAGATATATAAAGTTACTTTAATGGGTATTTTGAGGGTATGGGCATAGCAACTAGTTATGCCTTAACTTGCTCTTTTGCACTTTTCCTCAATATGATCCCCTAAGCTCACGTACAAGAGATGTAGCCATCACCTTCTTCACAATTTTAAGTGGGAGAGATTGAGGAGCATGGTGTTAGACCATATTTTATTCATGGGTTACACCAAAAGCTTAATAACTCTGAGATGGACAAGATAAAAAGATATAAGAGAAAAGAAAAAAATCCACTATTAGTACTTTACTAATATAATAACTAGTCTCAAATTTTAAAGCTAGAATCCTTGGCTCAATTTGAGATTTCCTTTTAATTGATTGAAATCTAGAGTCTCGAGCACTACAATAAAGCTACATAATGCACTATACGTATATAAATATAAAGTAGTTACAAGAAGCACGTACCATGTATACGGACTTGTACCGGGACAAATATTTAATCGTTAGGACTTAAGGTTTCCTAAAAATAAAAACCAGGTGGTTTCTTTAGCCATGAACAATTGCCTTAAGTTGGTTAGGTCTAGTGAGTATGGTGATGACCTTAAGAGTATATATTTAATTCCTTAATTCTTTTGCATATTTGGAGGAGATTGGGAAAAGAAAAAAAGAACGATAATAAAAATTTCCTCTAAATAAAGTTTATAGGTCATATCTATACATGAGTGTTGCTATTTTTCTTTTTGACAACCTTTTGTCTTATGTTCACTGTGAAATGCTTGTTAGTGCAATAATGGGCATTTAATGCACACTAAAACTAGGTAGCAAAATCTGAAAAAAAAAAAAAACTTAAGTAAATTATTCTTAGATATTTTTATCTTTCTAACACTATTTTCTCATCATGGTGGTCAAACCACTTATACCTTATATATTCACTCCCACAAAGAGAGATTTGCATAGCCATTAGTGTTCTTTCGTTTCCCTAAATTCCTTCACCATTTGAGCTCTATAACCATGAGAAATCAAATTTAAGAAGTTTGATGTTTCCAATAAAGTTGTAATGGTAGAACTATCAAAAAGATATTGAACTTTGAAATCGAGTTGGCAAGCAAGAAGGTGGAGATAATTGCCATGTTTCAGGATGTAGCCACTGTGGTTGCAATAATGGACGGGTCTTTGCAAAAATCTAACATCCCCAAGCAATAGGCTAAGGTATAAATCATTCTAACATCAAGATAAGCTCATTTTGTAATGAAAGTTGAGAGTATAGTATTAAGCCACGCATTCTATTGAAATATGAGTATAAGGACATCTAC